TCAGACAAAAACCTACACCTCTGAATCTACACAAGAACATGCAATACGCACTTTTGGCCTGGAGTTGGAGTAAAGTGCCGGTGACAGAATCCACAATGTTGGTGAGAACAGCTCTTCGTCTCCTGGTGAAGAACACAGCGGTGGAACAGGGACTGGGACAAGGTTCCTCAGGGCTTCTATAGACGTCTACAAGGAAGAAAGGAACAGTGTTCATAGAGTAGTAAAAGTATTGTGGGAAAAGAACACGTCTAGAAGGGAAGAGGGAACAGTGTTCATAGAGGAGTTAAAGTAAAGTGGGGAAAAACGTTATAAATGAGAATACATTAAATAAAACATGAGAAAAAGGGACGAAAAGAGAAAGAAGTAGAAACGAACAGTTCCTCAGGGCTTCTATAGACGTCTAGAAGGGCGGAATGAACAGTGTTCACAGACGAGTAAAAGTGGGGAAAAAACGTTATAAATGAGAATACATTAAATAAAACATGAAAAAACAGGGATGAAAGAGAAAGAAGTAGAAACGAACATAGACGTATAGAAGGGTGGAAGGAACAGTTTTCATATAGGATTAAAAATAAAATGGGAAAAAAAAACGTTATAAATGAGAATGCAGAAAAAAAAACGTATAAAGAAAAAAACATGAATGAAAATGTAGAAACGAACAATGTTCATGTAGAATTTAAAAAAAAAAAACAAACATGTTGAATAAAAGGTGCCCAGTGCTTCTTTATACGTCTGTAGAGGAGGAAGGAACAGTGTTCATAAAGTAACAATAAAGTGGGAAAAAAAGTTATAAATGAGAATGCATTATAAAAAAAAGGATGTATGAAAAAAGGCAAGAATGAACAGTTTCTCTGTGCTTTTATATGTCTTTAGGGGAGGAAGGAACAGTGTTCATAGAATAAGAACAAAGTGGGAAAAAATTATAAATGAGAATGTATTATAAAAATAAATAAATAAATAATAAATAAATAAAAATGTAGAAAAGGGCAAGAATGAGAATGAAGCTTCTACGTGTCTTTGGAGGAGGAAGAAACAGTGTTCATAGAGTAGTAACAATAAAGTGGGTAAAAAGTAATAAATGAGAATTAATTTTAAAAAAGGTATAAAAAAGTCATGAATGAGAATGAAGTAGAAATGGACAGTTCTTCAGGGCTTCTATACACGTCTAAATGGAGGAAGGAACAGTGAATAGAGTAATTAACAGTAATTAACAGTAATAGAGTAATTAACAGTAATAGAGTAATTAACAGTAATAGAGTAATTAACAGTAATAGAGTAATTAACAGTAATAGAGTAATTAACAGTAATAGAGTAATCAACAGTAATAGAGTAATTAACAGTAATAGAGTAATTAACAGTAATAGAGTAATTAACAGTAATTAACAGTAATAGAGTAATTAACAGTAATTAACAGTAATAGAGTAATTAACAGTAATTAACAATAATAGAGTAATTAACAGTAAACAGAGTAATAGAGTAATTAACAGTAAATAGAGTAATAAAAGTATTGTAGGGGAAGAAAGTTATAAATCAGAATGAAAAAAAAAAAAAAAACATGCATAAGCAAAGGTATGAATGAGAATGGAGAAATGAACAGTGTTCAAGTATAGATATAAAAAAAAATGTTGAATGAAAGCTATTAATGATAATTGTTATTATCATATATGTGTGTGCGATATATATCATATGTGTGTGTGTGTTTGTGTGTGTATGTTGGTACAGTCTATAGGTGATATATATAACATATGATTAATATATACATATAATAAATACTATATATATATATATAATATATATATATAATATATATATATATATATATATATATATATTAGATAATTATAAACATAAATATATTTCTTCTATGAGATGAATCTATATTATATATTAAAATAATGAAAGCAAATCTCACTAAAGTTTTGATTACAGAAGCAACCATGATAAAAAAAAAAAAAAAAAAATCTTTTTCTCTCCTTTTCTTTTTCCTTCTTTTTAAAAGATAAACATGATAACTTTTAATCGCACCTTCAGTATTAAAAAATCATCAGTAAAAATAAATAAATAAATAAATAAATAAATAATAAATGAATAAATAAATAAATAATAAAAAATAAATAAATAAACAATAAATAAATAAATAGATAAATAAATAAATAAATAAATAAATAAATAAAAAACAAATAAATAAATAAATAAATGAATGAATGAATGAATGAATGAATGAATGAATGAATGAATGAATGAATGAATGAATGAATGAATGAATGAATGAATGAATGAATAAATAAATAAATAAATAAATAAATAGATTAAATAAATGAACAAAATGAATTAAAATATAAAAAAATAAATAAATAAATAAAATACAAATAAAAAATAAAATAACAAAACGAACCTGTATCCGTCAGAAGGATCGCGGGGAGAGGCAGCGGCTCCCCTTCGTCAGGAGCGAAGGACCAGAAGGGGAAGTGCGACTGGTGGTTGAACATCTCGTAGACGCCCTGGTAAGACGGTCCGTGTCTCACCGCGAAGTCCTGTATCCTGACGAAGCGAGCGCGGCGGTCCTGCGGCGTGGAATAGGAGTGAATAGGAGTGAGTGGGATTGTTAGCGGGGATCCTACGTCGTGGAATAGGAGTGAATAGGAGTGAATAGGATTGTTAGCGGGATGCTACGTCGTGGAATAGGAGTGAATAGGAGTGAGTAGGATTGTTAGCGGGGATCCTACGTCGTGGAATAGGAGTGAATAGGAGTGAGTAGGATTGTTAGCGGGATGCTACGTCGTGGAATAGGAGTGAGTAGGATTGTTAGCGGGGATCCTGCGTCGTGGAATAGGAGTCAATAGGATTGTTAGATCGTAATGAGAGAATTGGGCTGTTCACTCATTGAATTGTGCTATTGATTCATGGAAATTGGCTATTTGGAGGTGGGATTTCGCTATTTATTTTTCGTTGGTGGATAGGATTGTGAATGATGAAACTCGTAATGAGGGAATTGGGCTGTTAAAAGGGTGAAATTGGGTTGTTCACTCATTGAATTGTGCTATTAACTGATGGAAATTGGCTATTCGGAGGTGGGATTTTGATATTTATTGATGGAATTTGATATTTGAAGGAGGGATTTCGTTATGGATAGGACCGTGTATGGTGAATCTGTGTCATACAATGATGGAATTTATATTTTATTTATTAGTTTATTCAGTAACGTTATTTGTTGGTGGATAGGATTGTGAATGAGGGAATTCTGCCATTTACTGATGGAATTAAGGTATTCTTTGTTGAGGTTATTCCTCTATATTGAAATTATGTCATTAGTTGTCTTACTCCACCTGACACTCCAAATACGGCAAATACTGGTACTCCTTATACTATAATTGCATTTATTACCATTACTCTTTCTACTCCTTGAACAGATGAATGGCCCCCAATTCTTCCTTTATTGAAATAGGTGCTACTAACACAACTGTCTTTACGTACGAGAAATATTCCTGCAATTGTTATTATTTCTTACAGCTTCGGTTGTTTTGCAGTTGTTGTCGTTGCAATGAGTATTATAATGATAATATTTCCCTGTAGCGTTCAATATCACAGTCATTACCATTATAATTGGCATTATCATCATATCTAGAAGATGACTTTTTTGTCACAATATGTCAACCTCAGGAAAACTGGAACTTCTATAGTACTCCCCCCCCCCCTATTTTTTAACCTTCATACCTTTATTAAAAATGATAAGTAAAATAATAAATAAAGAATTTTTAAAAATAATAATAACAACAAATAGATAATTAGATAATATAACAGTGCATTTTTTTACGTACCCTTTCGTAATTTTTTGAAAATGCTTTTGCAAGTTGGTGGCTCGAATTGTCCTCTCTCGCAAAGACGGCGAGAAAGTTGGCTCTGTTGTGGTTCTTGGCGATGTCACGTGACGCGTCGGGAAACGCCTGGAAGAGAGAAAGGGAAGAATAAGAAGAGGAAGAAGGAGGAGGAGGAGGAGTAGGAGAAAGAGAAGGAGGAGAAGAAGAAGGGAAAAAGAAGAATAAGAAAAGAAGAGGAAGAGAAGAAAGAGGAGGAGAAGAAAAAAAAGAAGAGGAAAAAGAAGGAGAAGGAAAGAGGAGAAGAGGAAAAGAGGAAGAATTTCAACAGAAACTCAGAAAAGTTTTCACAAATGCATGACTGTTAAGCTTATGTGTGCGTGTGCGCGCGCACGCGTCCTCGTTCGTGTGCGTGTGCGTATGAGTATGCACGTGCGTGTGCGAATTTGCATTTATCTTTTTACAACAATCTATTTCCACACTCTCAAATATCTCTCCACCTCCCAACACACGCAAATATTCCTCAAAAACAAAACGACAAACAACAAAAAACAGCCACTCACGGCAGCGAAATCCTCGGAGACGTACTGCGAATCGTCGACTTCACTGTATCTCGCGATCGAGTCGATGATGATGGCGCCGCCGAAGCGATCAGCTGATTGGCCGAGGTAATTCCAGAGCCATTGGTGAAGAAAGTGGTACGAGCCTTGCTTGCCTGGGTGGCTGGTTCCCTGTGGGGTGGGGGAGGGAGAGGGGAAGGGAGGAGGGAGGGAAGGGAGGAAGGGAAGGGAGGAAGGAGGGAGGGAGGGAAAGGGAAGGGAGGGAGGGAAGGGAGGGAAAGGGAGGAGGTAGGGAGGGCAAGGGGGGAAGGGAGGGAAAGAAAGGGAGGAAGGAGTAGGGGAAGGAGAGGAGAAAGGGGAAAGGGAGGAAGGTAGGGAAGGGAAGGGGGAAGGGAGGGAGGAGGGAGGGAAGGGGAGAGGAGGGAGGAGGGAAGGGAGGGGAGGGAGGAAGGGAAGGAAAGGGAAAGGGAGGAAGGGAGGGAAGGGAGGGGAGGGAAGGGAAGGAAAGAGGGGAAGAGGGGGGGAAGGGAGGGAAGGGAAAGGGAAAGGGAGGAAGGTAGGGAGGGGGGAAAGGGAAAGGGAGGAAGGGAGGAAAGAGAGGAGGGAGGAAAGGCAGAGGGGGGAA